CTCCCAGACTTGGCTCTTCTCACCAACTCTTTCAGAGACATCCAGGGTCTCAAGCAAGGGAGAGGATATCTCTGGGCTCAGTTTCCCCTCTGCAAACCCTGTGGGCATCTGCCTTGGTATTTCATGCTGGGAGATGGCCTTTCCCAAGACTCTGTACTGTGCCTTCACTTCTCACACACCTGTCTGGCTCTACAGTTACCAGATCTCCCACTAGGATGGGTCTCCTGTGGATGGACTGAGTTTGACTCCCTTTGAATCCCCCATAGTCTGGTCCATGGCCCAGCACAGAATAGGCACTCAATAAAAAATCACTGGCTGATTGCATGAATGGGATGAGGGGGTTGTGGAGGAACCCCTAACTTTAGGACGCCTGAAATGTAAGCACCAAACAGAAACCACAGGAAACCCTCAGCCTTGGTGTGTACCTCCCTGTCGTCCCTTGGAGGTGCAGGAGAGGCACAGGGGAGATCAACTTGTCCTTTCCGGTCAGACCCTGCTTTGCTGCTATGCGAATAATATTAAGATCTAGTAAGATAAATCTGAATAGCTGTGCAGACTGCCTAGGAATGAGAAACCAGGTTCTCCACCTAGAAAGGGCTGACACAGAGTGCTATGTTCTAGCTAAACCTGGGTAGTGCCAGCCATATATTCCCTCTAGCTAGCTCATTTCCACACACACCAGTCTAAAGGCTCCCCTCCCACCCTCCACCTGCCATTCCTCAGGCTTCAGGCCTACAGCTTTGTGACAGCTGGTCGGAAGGTGGGGTGTCTTCTTCGCAAGACCTCTGGCCCATCCCTCTGCGCACCTCACCTAGTGGCTCTAATTAGCCACCTCTGTCCCCTTGGCCACTCCAAGCCGTCCAGGCAATTTCTTTCCCGCCCCAAGTCCCACCCAAGACCTCCTACCTGGTTTCTGGGTGGCATATCCGCGGGCAGCCTGGAGGATGAGACCTATGCAGAAGAAAGAGTGCTGAGGCCCGTTTCCTCAAAGAGTCCAGCCTCGATTCTGGTCTACTGCTCTCGCATTACCCTTTCTCCATGGTCTTGGAGCCTGTGCGCCGAACTGCCGCCCGATTTCTTCCGCACCCCGATGCCGCATGTCTCTCCCACCTCACTTCTTCCCCACTCACCACTCCTCCTTTCTCCCGCTGCTACACTCCCCCCACCGCCTCGCCATTCTTGTCCCGCGTACCCTGTATCTTCGCCGAACTGCATTTTCCTACTCCCAATGCCGAGCTTCTCGGCTCCTCACCTCCAGGAGGTGAGGGAAGGCCCCGCGGGACGGAGGAAAGCCTGGCACACGTTCCTCCCGGCAGCCCGAGGACTGGCACCTGGGTCACTGCTTGGGTCCGAATCGAACTAAGCGCCCTCCACGCCGCCCTCAGCATGGTGACTTTCGACCCCTGCGTGGCTCGCCCTAAGGCCGCCGTCGCCTTCGCGGTAGGGACTCTGTTACATGGCCGCCGCCATGTTGACTCAGGCTCGACCAATCGAGCGCAGTTGCGAGACCGGAGCAGATGAGGACCGAGATGATGGATTGGAAGGCAGGATGCCTTGATGAGGAGGAATTCGGAGTTGGATCAAGGGAGAGAGGTTTGTTGAGCGAGAGTGGGAGGTTTGGTCGTTGCCTGGCCTCCTTAGTGGTGTGTGGTCCTGTGTAAACTCTAAGATGCCACTTTTTCTTGAGCATGCATCCCACCCATAGTCCCACTCTGCTGTCCTGAGCTCAGGCCCTAGTTATCTTGGAGGCTTTCGTGGGGCCTGTTGTGGTCTTCTTCCCCCAACCAAGTATTTCTACTCCCTGTCTCCCCAGAATCCAGGCTGGGGCCCTGTAAGAACTAGGTTTCAACCTCTTTTTTGGCAGCCTTGCATCCTGGTGATTAAGGTCGCTGAGTTTGGACTGCCCTGGGCTGGAATCCTAACTCGGCCATTTACTGGCTGTGTGATTCTGTGGGCAAGTCGCTCACACTTCCTGAGCCGCAGTGTAGTTACTCATCCATGAAATGGGGGTGGTAATAACATTACCTATCTTTTAGGTTGTTAGAGGATTAACTGCGACAGCTGTGTGCAGAGCGCCTGGAATATAGTAAGCATTCAAGAAATAATAGCTGTGATATTTGTGAAAGGAGGGGCATAAGGACAAATGCATATTAAAAGTAGGAAAAAGAAATCTTAATTTTCCTTGGTGCAAAAAAGGGAAAGAATCTTCTCCCTCTTGCTTTTCTTAGAGCATTTACCTTAGAGTACATGTAACTGTGAATTCTTTCTCTGCCCTTTTGAGAGATACATAAATCTTTTAAAAAGCTAAATAAGCCTCTTGCCAGTTTTACAACTCAGGAATGTCTTTCTCTAGGACCTGGGAACCGTCTGTTTGAAATGTAATCATTTAAAAAGATAGTGCTCCTGTCTCCCAGTTTGCAGAAGGGTAGGAAACTAACTTCAGCTGGTGTCCAGCTCCAAGTTGCAAACCTCCCTCCTCTCATAAAGCCATGAAAAATTTATTTTTCCTTTGGATAAATGCAATTAGCAAACCCAGGTGGCTACCCCATTTCCTAGCTATATTTAGGATGACCCCTGTGTGACCAATAGTGCTATCAAGTCCTCTTGCTTGAGGACTAGTTATTGTTTATCTTGAGAAAATGTGTGCAGTAAGTTGTGTAAAGCTTGGCTGTGTAAAAGGGTGTTTGCAAGCTCTTGAGTAGGTTGCCTGTGACTCGCATCACATTCTGGTTTAATTTTCATCCAATCATAAAACTGTTTCTTCCTCTTCTTCCCTTGTGGAGAGGTTTTCTAGACTGGTGGGAGATTTTTGTTTTGAATTACACTTCTGCAACAGGGGTTATTCTTTTCCAAGGTCTGTTCCCAATGTCGCATAGTTTTCTGTGACTCCTTTGGTAACCCTGGCCACTGTGGCCTAGTAGTCATTTTTCAAGTCACCACTAGGATAGCAGCTCTTTGAGGATGGACTGAGCCTAGTCATTTTTGAACCCCTGCTGCCAGCACAGCGCCTAGATACTAGGTGAGGGCTGGTTGAATGAAGGAATTAAGGAAGGAAGAAACAAACGATTCTGAGGAGTATCACTGCCCGCCCCCCTCCCACCGACTGCTAGGGCTTTGAAAAGAAAAAGAATAGAGATTCAGGCACACTTAAGAGTTTCTCAAAACCAAACCAAACCAAACCACACCATAAACTAGTTTAAGAGACTAAAATTATAGGAAACTAGTACAAAAGGCTAGTGGGCGGGGCTGGACAAAGCATTCGCTGGCCTTTAAAGTGGGAGACCCAGTCCACAGAGATTGAGGGGATGGGGGAGTGGTGCTGGGGGCCAGAGATAGGGGAGACTGGGAGCCTTTCTGCCTTTCCTGGGACTGGCTGGTTTTTCAGTGATGAGTGTACTGACCTTCTCCTCTGGATGACCCAGGCTTATCAAGAAGTAGGCCCAGGTGGGGAGTCCCAGGAAGCCTTAGAAGCCCCCGAGCCCCTCCACCCCACTAACCTGGAGCCCCTGCAGGAGAGGGAAGTCAAGCAGAGGCCCAAAGATACAGTCGTCCTCTGGGTTTGGAACTAGGGGCTCTGGGGTCCCCAGGGGGCTGGTCTGGAACCAGAGGTTCTCATAGGACTTGGGGCTGGGGGTGAGGCCCCCCAAGAGGGGCTGAGTGGAGTCACAGCGGAGGTAGTGCCCTGGCCCTGGGTCTGTGGGGCTGCCCAGCACCTGTACGTAAAGGACTTGGTCACTGGTGCCAGACTGGGACTGGGACTGGGTGGAAGGTACTCTTGGGTCCCCCTGGAGCACATAGGCCTGGACCAGAGTGGGGAGACTGCAGGTCCCTGAGCTGTCATTGGACTCCCAGGGCCCTGGCTTCTTCTCTTCCTCCTCCAGCACTGTGATCTTGGTGATGGGTGGCATGCCAGGGTCCCGTAGGCTGGGCAGCTGGAAGGTATCCTGCATAGAAAGATGTGGGGTGAGGGTCTGGTTCATTTCAGATGCCTGCCCTAGCCACTGTCCCTTCCTGAGTTGGGGCAGTTGTGGGGCATTCTTGCTGCTCTTTGCTGGAACTCAAAGGGTTACTCAAAGGATGCAAAGCATCTCATTTGTTCTGACATGCTAAGTGCTGTTCAGACTTAGCCTGGTGAATCTCCCGAACAATTCTGGGTAGGATTAGTCCCATTTCACAGTGAAGTCATGAAGGCTTTGAAATAAGTAGAGCTGGGATTCAAACTCAGGTCTGCTTTGCTCCAAAGGGAGGTGAGGTGATGGGAAGGCCTGAGTACTCATCCTGAGAAGGGTATCCCTTCACTTTGAGCCTAGGCCAATACCCTCAGACCCATCTCCCTCTCCCTCCAGTGTTCTCACCTCTGCCATGATGGTAGGCACCCAGGAGCCTAGGCTGCTGTGTGCTGGGTCTGGGACACTTGGCCAGAGGGCATTCTTCCTGCTGGAGAAGAGGGCAGGTGAAGGCTGGGTCAGGCATGCCCTCCTGTCTTTCCGTCCTTTCTCCCACCTACTCCCAGCAGCTGAAGGGATGGCCCCTTGCAGTGAGGAGAAGATGAAGGGCCTGACTCCCAGACCTGGGCCCTGAGGCCTGGCAAGGCTGGGAGGAACTCAGACTGGCTCACTCAGGCCTGCAGTTCCCTGCAGGCAGGAGTAGCTAGGTGTCAGGTCTCTCCAAAAAAAACTCACCTGGGTCTGCAGCAGAGCTGGGCAGCCCCACAGAGGCAGATGAACAAGACCAGGAGACCTAACAGGCCCAGGAGGATGTGCAGCTCAGACTCCTCTGGGGTGAGGAAGAAGTCAGAAGAGGTTAGAGTGCATGCAGGTAGGGCTGGGCCTCCTGCCTCAGACTGGGATCCAAGGGTAGAGCTGGGTTTCCTCCCTCAAACCAGGGGATCCAGGCAAGGCCTGTCTACTTTCAAATGAAGATCCTCTGGGTGAAGCACCCTCCCAACAGCCTTGTCTGGCCAGCCCTCTTCTCCTCTTACCTAGGGCCAATGTCATCAGGGTGAGGCTTGTACTGTTGATGGTCCACGCCTGGCTGGCAGCCATGAGGTAGACATGGTACAGGCTGGCAGGCTCCAGGCCACGGAGGACAAAGCTATGGGAGGAGGCATTCAGGACAGTGGCTGGGAGTAGAGGAGAATGGTCAGCCCGGACCTGGATGCTGAGGCTCCCCAACAACCCCTCCGGGCCTTCTGGGGCTGTGGGTCACTGAGGATAGACTTACAGAAGGACTGGTCCTGAGCATTGTTCCAGAAGATGGTGTAGTGGGTCAGGGGGCTCTTCCCCAGCTCAGGGGCCTCAGGCACCCACTCCAGCTGGGCCCAAGTCTTGCCAATGTGCCTGAGATGCAACTCTGGGCCATGGGAGGGGGCTGCCGGAAGAGAGAGGTACAGGGGCTGACAGGGAGCGGGCTGGGTGGAGCCCCAGGTGGACTTCTTGTGGCTCCCCAGACCCAAGAATTGGGACATATTGCAGGGGTGGGCGATTTAAGAGAGCATGGGGGACTCCTGTCCAAGCCTTATCTTCCCAGGAACTTTCACTGAATCCCATCAGCTGTGAGTAAGGGACTGAGCTGGGATTTGAACCTGCTTCTCTTTGGCTGCAAAGCCTCGCTACCTGATTTCTGCCAGGTCTGATTTTATTTCGTTTACTGTTTGATTTCTGCCACTCACTCTCTGCATATGCCAGGCCCTCTGTCTAATTTCTATCACATGGGATGCCTGATTGCTGTCAGGACAATTGATCAATTTTTGCCAGACTTGCTTCCTGAATTTCTGAGCTCACTGCCCAATTTCTATTACCCTACCACCTGATTTCTTTCCAGCTGCAGGGGTCCAGCATAAACCAGGGGTAATCTTAGGATTGGGAGAGACCCTCTTCTGGGTTAGAGGCAGGGGAAGAAGGGAGTGTTCCCTCACATTCCTGATTTTGGGGGCCTAGACAGGCCTTGAGAGACAGGAGGGGATTCTGAGAAGGGGCCTGGTGGCTGACGAACCCATCTCTTGGGAGTAGGCGTAGATGTGCTGGGAGGGTCCCTTGGTGTCCTGGTACAGGGGGGTCACAGTGATCTCGTAGAGCTGAAAGGGCCTGATGTTCTCTGTAGAGAGAAAATGGGGTCGGCACCATAGTTCAGGGCTAGCCTCTGATGAGGGTCAGGGGCTAACCTCAGACCAGGGATAACCTGGGCCTCATACTGCAGGGTGAGCCATTTGGCAGGGGTAAGGGGCAAAAAGTGAAAGAGAGAGCTAGGAAGGTGGCAGAGTCAGGGCCGTAGAAAGAGAGGATCCAGTTAGACTGTAGGAAGGTCTTCCTGATTCTGAGGATGTGAGATGAGGACAGTGTAGGATCAGGAAAGACTAGGGGATCTGCTTCTTTGGGGTGGATCAGCTCACCCCTTGCCTACTGTCAGTCGAGTAAAGTGCCTCCCCCTGACCCCCAAGCCCTGCCCACCTGCCCAGCCCCCAGGCCTGCCTCACCCTGCAGCAGGGTCCCTGCAATGCTTCCATTGTGCTCCATCCTCCAGGCCTTCTGGCTGCTGCTGGGGCTGGGCGGAGCGAGGCCCCACTCAATCACATAGCCCCGAGGCTGAGGGCTGGGGGGCTCCCAGCCCACCCAGATGCTGTGAGGGTCTCGGGCCACAGTATGGAGTCTTGCCAGGGGTGGGCCTGGAAAGAGTAAGAGATGAACGCATGAAAATGAAAATAATGCAGGCCTGGAAGCCAGAAGCCTGGGTTCAAGTCCACCAGTGGCTACTTACAAGCTGGGTGACCTTGGGTAAGTCAACATCTGAGCCTCAATTTCCTTATCTGTAAGGTGGAAATGGTGATAAAAGTTTCTACCTCATAGGGTCGTGGTGCAGATTAAATGAGTTGGTACATGGTGGGAGGGTATAGCTCCAGCAGTAGAGTGCATGCTTAGCATGCATGAGGTCCTGGGTTCAATCCCCGGTACCTCCTCTAAAAATAAATAAATAAACCTAATTACCTCCCCCCAACCAAAGAAAGAAAAATTAAATGAAATGAAACAGGCCTGGCCTCGAGTAGTGCTTGGTCATGCTGAAAGCTACCACTGTGTGGGGCTTGGTATGTGTTAATTCACTGAGTTGGCTGGCAGTCCCACTGCATGGCACTACTACTGTCCCCCATTTATCAATGAGAAAACGGAGACACAGAGAGGTTAAGTGACTTGCCTAAAGTCACGTGGCTGGTAAGTGGGAATATTAGCTATTGTTACTGTTAGTCTCTTTGTGATCCATGATCAGGGGCACCTGATTCCCTGAGAATGAGCCAATTAACTCAGGGACTGTGTTCTAGCTGGAAAAACTTAAGGGTTTCTCTCTTGTTTCCTTGGCATAATGGACTTGTGTGTGTGTGTGTGTGTGTGTGTGTGTGTGTACAGGCACCACTACCAGCTTAACCTGGTTCTGGCTAATGATAATAATAATAGCTAACATATAGGGAATGGTTACTTCGCACCAGGCACACATCTTCACTCATACAATCTCAATAGCGATGCTTTGAGGTAGGCACTGTATCATCCCCATTTGCTAGATGAGTAAACTGAGGCCAGAGAGGTTAAGTAACTTGCCCAGGGTCACAGTTAGCACGTGACAGGACTAGATTTGAACACAGGCAGTCTAGCCTCTGAATTTACATGCTTAACCACCACGCTCTTCTAGCTGCCTGCCCCCTTTACCTCTGCTTTCCAAGAAGACCACTGGGGTGGGACGAGAGGTCCCGGCTGTGTTATAGGCTTCAAGGACCACCCCCCGGGCTTCTGAAGGCAATTGGAAGGTGCAGTTTAGCTCCGTGGTGTTGCAGAGGGGTGGGTCTGCCCCAGTCTGGTCTGAGTGTCTCCAGGAGACCAGGTACCCTTGAATCTGCCCACTGTCTTTCTCCAGGGGCATTGGCTGTGGTGGGCAGAGGAGGAAAAGGTAAGGGGATGTACAGCCATGAGTCAGGGAGAACTTCTAGATGGGGTGGACATGTCCCAGGAACAGACCCCTGGGCTGGGAGCCAGCCCTCCTCCCTCCCTCCTTTCTCCCCTCTGTTCCCCTGGGCTGGGTCCTAGGAGGGAGGGAAGGGAGAAGCAAGTGGGTGTATGCAGCAGGCATGTAACTGAGTCCTGCATTGTAGTCTGTCCAGAAGGACACTCCCAGCTTCCTAGACACAGGCAAAGTACGTACAAATCACATACAAATGCATCCAAGCCTCCCAGCCCTGTTGGAGTCCTGAGCCCCAGCTCGCAGGGTCTGTCAGGGGTGGAGGGATGGCCTTCAGAGGGCATCACCTTCCAGAACAGCTGCACGTCCACTGTCCTGGGGCCCAGCTGCCTCTGCCGCCACCATGTGTCCAGTCTGATAATAGGGGCTGTGGATGGTGTAAGAAGAAGATCAGGGAGGGCCCTGGAGGCCAGACTGGGTCCTGATGGCTGCTCCCAATCCCTCATCACCCACTTACCCCGTTGTGTGGTGATCAGCTCCAGGCTGGGGCTCCAGTCACTCCAGTGGCCAGGCAGGCGCCAGCGGGTGCAACGCATCTGCAGGGTGTAGGCTGTGGATGGGAGGAGCCCGCAGAGCTCATACCGGAGAGTCCTGGAGGGTAGGGCACCCACCTGGTGGGAGGTGGAGCGTGGCTGTGAGCCTGGATCCCTCTGCCCTTCAAGGCCAGCTCAACTTACCCTCCCCTCCACCCCAGGCTCCTGAGGATGTCCTCCACCTCACCAGGTCCCAGCTGGCTTCTCCAAGCTGTGGCTGGTGGCGCAGCTCACACTTCTGTTCAATATGCAGGCTTGGCTTCCATGTCTCCCAGCGCAGCCTCAGGCAGCCTGGCTGGAGCGGGGGCACCTCAGGGCTGGGCTCCAGGGCCCACAGTGTGGGAGGCTCCAGTTTCACTGCGAGGAGAGGGGTTGTCAGGCACTGTCTCTGCTCCATCCCATTAGGGCTCTGCCCTAGCTCCCGCTTGTCTCCCTGTCTGTGGTTCCATTTTCCTCCCTGGGTCTCCATTCATGGGATCTCTGTGCCTTTCTCTCTCTGTGTCTCTTCTCTGTGTCCTCATGTTTCTGATCTGTCTCTGTATGTGTGTCTGTTTCTCTCTCCTTTTTGTACTCTTGCCCCAAGGCCTTTGCATTGGTTGTTCCCTCTGCCTGGAGCACTTCCCCTCCAGATATCCAGTGGCTTGCTCCCTCATTTCCTTCAAAGATCTCTTCAAATGTCCTGTTCTCAGTGAGGCCTTCCCTGACCACCTTCCTGAAATAGCAACCACCCCCAAACCCGCACCCTCCCTCCCCACAGCTCTCCCTGTCCAGTCCCTGCTTAATTTCCTCATTGGGCTTATTATGTGACGTTCTATTGTATTTATCTTTCCCCCTAGAATATAACATTCTGGGCAAGAGTTTTGCTGTTCACTGCTGTGTCCCCAGCATCTAGAACAGTACCTAGCGCATAGTGGGCACGTCAGGAAATTTGCTGAAAGAGCAAATGAGTGTGTCTCCTTGCCTCTGTGCGTTTCTTCCATGTCCCTGTCTGTCTCC